CCCCCCCCCAGCCCCATAAAGCCCCCCAGCCCCACAGAGCCCCCCACGCACTTGTAGGAGGGGTAGGTGGGCCGACACTCGCGGCTGCGGCTCCGCACGGGGCTGGTCCCACACGGGGGGTTGCAGAGCCCCCAGGGGCTCCAGTCTGACCAGTTCCCACGCACTGGGGGCACAGGGCAGCGTCACCCCCCCGCCCCCCACACTATGGGGCGGCTCCGGGGCAGCTCTGGAGCTCCGAACGAGCCCCGTGAGAGGCTCCGGGGCGGCTCCGGGGGCTGGGGGTCACTCACGGATGCAGTTCTGGATGTTGTAGCAGGCACGGACGTGGATGGTGCCGATCCCCTCCTCGGCGGGGCACGAGGGCCCCCCCTGGCCGTGCCCCACACACTCCCGGGTGCGCCGCTGCTGCCCCACCGTGCTCTTGCAGGCGATGGACTCCCAGAGCGGGCGGGTGCAGGGGCTCCAGGGGCCCCACGGCCCCCAGTGCAGCACCTCTGAGGGGCACGGGGGGGTCAGCGGGGCCGGGGGGGCCTCGCCCTGACCCACGTGGAGGGGCACCGTGGGCAGGGTACGAGGGGTGGGGTGGGTGCCCCACAGCGAGGGCAGAGACGGGGTGACCCCACAGCAAAGGGGAGAGGACCTGTGCTGCCCTGGGGGTGCCCCATGGCTGTGGGTTGGGGACCCCCCCGTCCCCTTTTTGAGCCCCGCCCCTGAAGGTCAAGCCCCGCCCCTGAAATTCAAGCCCCGCCCCCAGGACTTGCCCCGCCCCTCACGTCACATTTCCCCAGGCTGCGCCCCCATACGCAGAGGCCACGCCCCTCTCCGCTGGAGCCACGCCCCCTCCCCCAGAGCCGAGCAGCAGTGCCTGCCCGGGCCCCGCCCCCTCCAAAGCCACGCCCTTTCAAACCCACACCCATCTCAATCCCCGCCCCTTCAAAACCCATCCCCTTGAAGCTCCGCCCCTCCATTGCCCCACCCTCACAGACCCCGCCCCTTCAAAACAAAGCCCACCCCTCAGACGCTCCTCCCCTCGAAGCCCCGCCCCCTGAAGCCCCGCCCCTCACCCGGGCAGGCCCCGAGGGGCCCGCAGACCCCCCGCCGGGTGTCCTTTCCTGCGCAGGCGCGGCCGCCGTGCTGGGGGGGCGGGGCGTCGCACGCGCGGCGCAACGTGACCCCGCCCAGCCCGCACGTGACCGGGCAGGGCGTGACCGCTGACCACGCCCCCCACGCGCCGTCCACTGCGGGGGGAAGGGGCGGGGTCAGGGCCGTCAGGCCACGCCCCCCCCTCGCGGGGCGCCACTCCGGGTTGGGGGGGGTCCTGGGGGTCCCGGGGGGGGGCCTGGGGGTCCGGGATATCCCAGGGGAGTTTGGGGGTCCCAGGGGGTCCCGGGGTTCATGAGGGAGTCTTGGGGGGTCCTGGGGGTCCAGGATGTCCCAGGGGAGTTCGGGGTTCCCAAGGGGATCCTGGGGGTCCTGGGTGTGTGGGATGTCCCAGGATAGTTCAGGGGTCCCGGGGTGATCCCGGGGGGTCCCAGGTGCCCTGGCTGTCCCAGGGCAGTTCAGGGGATACCAGGAGGTTCCTGGGGGTCCCAGATACCCTGGCTGTCCCGGGGCAGTTGGGGGGATACCAGGGGGTTCCTGGGGGTCCCTGGCTGTCCCAGGGCAGTTGGGGGGTGCCGGGGGTCTCACCGGGGCAGGGCTGCAGCCCCGGGCAGTCCTGGCTGTCGGTGGCGCTCCCGGCACAGGGGGCCCCGGGCGGGTCCCTCGAAGGCGGCGGCGAATCACAGTGGCGCTTGCGGCTCCGCCTCGGCCTCGGCCCCGCCCCCCAGCACGTGCCAGAGCAGCGGCCCCACGGGCCCCACTCGCCCCAGGCCCCGCCCACTGCGAGGGGGCGGGGCTCAGTCCCATCCCCCACCCCCTCACACCTCTCCCCCACCCCCCGCATTTCCCACCCTCTGCCTCCCACTGCTGCCCCTTCTGCCCTTCCCCCTCCCCATCCCACCCCTCCCCCTCCTTATCCCACTCCAACCCCTCCTTCCCCCCAAAATCTGCCTCTCTTCATCCCCCTCCTCCTTCTCCTCCCCCACCTCTGCCGCTCCCCCTCCTCCAAACCCTCCCCCAAACCCTCCCCACCCCCTCTCCCCTGCCCCCCTCCCCCCTCACCGGGACAGATCGGGGCCCTGCCCAGGCACTCCCGGGTCTCCTCGGTGGCCCCGGGGCCGCAGGAGCCCCCGCAGAGGGGGGGGGGGTTGGTGCAGCTCCGGCTGCGCCTCTCGGCCCCCAGCGCACACGTCACGGAGCAGCTGCCCCACGGCGACCAGGGGCTCCAGCCCCCCGGCTCTGGGGACACCAACGGGTCACCCCCACGGCCTCCGTGTCCCCACATCCTCCACGTGTCCCCCATGTCCCCCCCAGTGTCCCCTCGTATTGCTCCAATATCCCCTATATCCCCCATGGTCCTCCATGTGTCCCTCTGTGTCCCCCTCGTGTCCCCACATCCACCCACGACCCCTCTGTCTCCCCACATCCCTCATGTCCCCCCATGTCCCCCCATGTCTTCATCTCACCCTATGAACTCCCATATCCCCATTGTTCCCCCATGGCCTCCCCACGTCCCCTCATGTGCCCCTGTGTCCCCCCCCATGTCCTTCATGTCCCCCCCCCCCCCCCCCCCCCCCCCCCCCGCGCCCCTGCCCCCCCCCCATGTCCTTCATGCCCCCCCCACCCCCCCCCCGCTCCCCCCCATGTGCCCCCATGTCCCACCTGGGCAGCAGGGCAGGTGACAAACTTGCAGCTGCCAGTCCCTCCTGTCCCCATCGTCCCCACCCGAGCTCCGGCTGCGGCCCCTCCGCTGGGTCCCCTCCCCACAGGTCACTGAGCAGCTGCTCCAGGGGCCCCAGGGGCCCCACTCGCCCTGTCTGGGGACATGGGGGACCCAGGGTCACACGGCATCACTTGGCGTCACCCAGCTCACCCGGGGTCACCTGGGGTCACCCAGCACCACTCGGTGTCACCCGGTATCACACGGGATCACCCAGAGTCACTTGGTGTCACCCGGGGTCACACGGTACCACCGGCAGTCTCGTGAGGTCATTCAGTGTCACCTGGTGTCACCTGGGGTCACCTGGGGTCACCCGGGGTCATTCAGCATCACTCAGTGTCACCCGGTGTCACCCACTGTCACTCAGGGTCATTCAGCATCACTCAGTGTCACCTGGTGCCATCTGGAGTCACTCAGTGTCACTCAGTGTCACCTGGTGTCACCCAGGGTCATTCAGTGTCACCTGGTGTCACCCAGGGTCATTCAGCATCACTCAGTGTCACCCGGAGCCATCTGGTGTGATCTGGAGTCACCCAGGGTCACTCGGTGTCACCTGGAGTCACCCCGTGGCACTGGGTGTCCCCCAACGGCCCCTGGTGGCACCTGAGGCCTCCTGGTGTCCCCCAGCCCCGCCCAAAGTCCTCAGGGTGGGGCATGAGAGGGCGGGGTATGAGAGGGCGGGGCTGGGAGCAGCGGGGGGGGGGGTTGGTGGGTGGAGCTCCAGTGGTGCAGGTGTGGCCTCACAGGGGGAGGGGCTTTGCATCGGGTGTGGCCACTTGGGTGGAGCTCATCCAATGGGGTGGGGCTAGAAGGGGGGTGTGGGCGTGGCCACGGAGATGAGTGAGGTCAGGTGGGTGTGGTTTTTAGTGGGCGGGGCTTTGTTGTGGGCGGTGCTTGTTGTGGGCAGGGCTCGTTTTGGGCGGGGCTCATTTTGGGCGGGGCTAACCGGCAGGAGAGGCAGCGGCCGTGGGGGCGGAGCTTGTAGCCGTAGGCGGGGTTGAGGCAGCAGTCAGCCAATGGGACGGGCTCGTCGCCCAGTAGCTCCGCGCAGGCCCCGCCCCCCTCAGCCTCCTCCAATCGGGCGAAGCACCAGACGGGCGTGGCTGCTGGGGGCAGGACCATGAGGGGTCACAAAGAGTCACTGGGGGAAAGGATGAGCTCCCCAGTGCTCCCAGTACCGCCCAGCATCGCTCCCCAGTGCTCC